GCATCTTTACATTTGTTCTTTCTTTGTCTGTTGTTTTCTTTAAATCTGGAACAAAAAGGCAGCGGGGCATGAAAAACCCTCTTTTGCTCTTCACCTCCGGGAAGGACCAAGATGCAGCCATGAGAAGGGGACTGTCAGATGACAAGGAGCCCTGAGGAAGTGAAGGAGCAGGGGGAGATGTCCTGGTGAAAGGGAAGAAAAACAGAAAGGTGGAATGGACCCTTACAGGGAAGTGGAAAGGCTCCGGCTTCATGAATCCAAGCCAAATCTGGGAGCATGTGACTTGTAGCTTTGAACAGAAATTTCATGCAAATGCAGCAACAGCAAAAGATCCCGCAAGAACAAAGAAAATGGCAGAAGGATATTGGCCAGTTTAAAGACTTATGCAGAAACGAGAAGAGATGAAGCATGAGTGATGCTGCTGATTCATAAGCAATTGTCCCACTCTGGGAAAGCACCAATATTCAGGAGAGAACTTAAGCACCCACTTAAGTCCCAGTGCAGCTTATGGGCATTAAAGCCAGCTTTGACAGGTAGTGTTACTCAGTGGACAGTGCCCTGACTAGGACTCAGGAGATCAGAGTACTGGTACCAGCTCTGCCACTAGTCTTCTAGGTGACTGCTCTGTGCCTTAGTTTTCCCTTCTGTAAAATGGGGATAAAGGCCTCCTTAGTAGTGTGCTTTGAAACCGACGTGTGAAAAGCTCTAGATAAGAGCTATGTATTAATTGCTATTAAAACTAGCTAAGTGTGTTAAGGGCTTTCCTGAAGCGGGGCCATGAAGCAAAGACTTTCTGCATTGCAGAATGGCCCTTCTAAGAAACCAAATGGCAGGAGAAAAGATGCTGGGATTGTCACCACTCAACCAGTGTTTTCCATGCCCTCAGGTTGTGATAACTACGTTTGGGTTGTTTGTCAGCCACACAATGTGGAAGCCACAGGAGAATTAGACTGTTCTGACTGGACTTGTTACCAAATGAACTGCTGTGTTCTCCTCTTTCTCCCATGGAGACTTCATATTTGCGCTTTGTTGTTTTTCCTTCGTCTGAAATAAAAGCTACACAAATGGAGCAGCACCTGGTCTGCTGTTTGTGGTTGGGGATGTTTTAATGTGGAGATCCAAGCCCTCTCGGAAGCAGTGGTTGGGATCTGGCAGATCCCTCCCCTGGTCTACTCCAGGAGATAAGCTGGAATTGAGAGACACAACTTCAGCCATGTTAATTGCATAGCTTAAGTCGAAGTATCTGAACTCAACTTTTGGCACCATCCACACTGCAGGGAGTCAGAGGGTGCAAACTCTCTCTTCAACTCCCCTTACTCCTCATAGGAGCAAGACGACCAGCATCGACGGGAGCCCCCTCTCAGTTCCAATTAACGTGTCTTCACTAGACCCGCTTATTCAAACCCCAGAAGATCAACTGCGACCACTTCGATCTTCTCTGTAGAATAGATATGGCCCCAGTGACCTCTGATAGTTTGGTTTAATTTTAAGACTGTAGTTTTATCTGTAAATGGAGAGTTGTTGTATCTGAAAGCTGGGAGCAATTTCTCAAATCTTGATTTAAAAAAAATCACACACACAAAATAGGTGTTTTGTTTTGACATTTTCCCCTGTTTTGAAGCAAGTGTAGCGTTAGTTGAAATTTTCAAGTGTCTACACTTGAAGAGACAGAGCATCATTCTCCTCCCCCCCCCCTTCCCTTCTCCCCTTTATTTTGAGTTTCCATCTCCCCTACCCATAACTCCGGTCATCTGAAGAAGTGGGCTGTGCCCATGAAAGCTCATGATACCATCTACATGTTTTGTTAGTCTATAAAAATGCTACCAGACTATTTTTTGTTTTTTTTTACAAAAGTGTGAAGATTCTAAATAACTTTAAAGTTCCACGAAAATGGGAAAGGTGAAGAAATGTGCGTATTTTCCCCTCTTTAAAAAATCTACCTCCCCCCCACTTGCCAATATTTTAGGGCTGCTAAATTAACAACTTAAAAGTCTTTTCTTTTACTAAAACAAAAAGTTCCATACACCTCTTATGTATTCTTCAAACAGTCCCTTAGTACTGTTCATCCCTCAGTATCCCAAATATTTCACAAAATGGACAATGTTAGAGATATTTTTGTCACCCATCATTGTAATGCAGCCACTTCTGGAGGGGAGCATGGCAGCTGTTTAATATTTCACAGCAGCATTGCACTGGTGTTATGCTTAAATGAAGCACACGAGATCTTTTATAGGGGAAAAGGCAGTACACTGCATTTATTGAGAATACAACAGTTGCACGTGCTTTTCAATCACTCACACACACAAACATCATGCATACATGGTCCTGCCAGATGATGATGTTTGTCAGTTGATTGATCTGATGTTCCTCTGGAGTTGGTGGCAAGACAAACCCAAAGTTCCATGGCAAAGCATCCTGCTCTTATAATCCTTTCTTCTGTGGCTATCGCTGTGTCAGTCTGTGACCCAGTCTGTTATCTTTTGATGTTGACATTCCCAACATCTCCGAGAAGCTCATCCTGTAATCAATTGTCTTATGGGGGAGCTCGCTCCACTTTAGAGTTGTCAGTCTGTCAATCTGATCAGTCCTTGACCATGGGTATGCACTGATGGTTCCTCTGACACCGATATGTCTCTTCACAGTCTGTCTTTCACCCGCATTGCCCCCTCCTTTCTTGGCAATCTGGCTCTAATGGTGGCCTCCCTGCCTTTATCTTTATGATGATACATTTCTCATTCACACAAACAGTCTCTCACAGAATCCTAAGGTAAACAGCAGTGTTTATATTAAGCAAAATCAAAATCAAAACAATTCACATTGAAGGCCTGGACCTTCACTATTTCTAATCTCATTAACATAGACACAATACCAAAACTCTCTCTCTTTACTGAAACCAATCACTAACTCACTACACTTTAAAACAAGGAAATATGGGAGCTATATACTTAAATGGCTGCATTACTAAATCTAAAATACAATTATAAAAAGAATAAAACTTTCAATCCCAACACTGGGCTCCCTCACACAGCTCATGGCTGCTCGTTAGCAGCATTCAACAGCTTCCCAAGGGCAAGTTAGAGCAGGAGCTGAAAATAAGTTCAACGACCCAATGCCATGTTCAGCGTGAATCAGAACTAGCAGGCTGCCATCAGCACCTTCACTATTTCTAATCTCATTAACATAGACACAATACCAAAACTCTCTCTCTTTACTGAAACCAATCACTAACTCACTACACTTTAAAACAAGGAAATATGGGAGCTATATACTTAAATGGCTGCATTACTAAATCTAAAATACAATTATAAAAAGAATAAAACTTTCAATCCCAACACTGGGCTCCCTCACACAGCTCATGGCTGCTCGTTAGCAGCATTCAACAGCTTCCCAAGGGCAAGTTAGAGCAGGAGCTGAAAATAAGTTCAACGACCCAATGCCATGTTCAGCGTGAATCAGAACTAGCAGGCTGCCATCAGCCCTCCTGTTGTTCCCTGGGCAAGAGGAGAGGGCTTGTCCTCCCCAGCCCTCTAACGTTACCCTACCGCAGGCATGAGGGCTGAGCCCTGTGTCACAAGGCCAGTGCCCCCTCCCCTCTCCTTCCCTGCCTCCGCTGGCAGCAGGATCTGTTTCAATCACTGACTTTTCACGTTCTTGTCATTGCAGGGGCTGATGGAGAAAACCACACAGTTTATGCCAAAGTTGGTAATTTCCCACTGGTGAGTTCACCTACGTCTCCCTTGTGGTGAAACCATTTTCCATTTTCGGGATTGGGGCAGTTTAGCTAGAAGAGTGGCCAAGGAGGGTTGATGCCAGTGTTCCCTCTAATTTGTTCCAGCTATGTGCAGATTCAGTTTTGCTTGGTGCACTGAGGCAGGCAGATGTGCACCACCAGTAGAAACACCTGCTACTGACTGTGGGCGCTCTGCTAATCAACTGAGCAGCATTTAATTCTCTCCTGGGTGTCCTCCCAAGCGCTCAGTTTATAGGAAACACTGGTGGGTGTCATTGTTGTGGATTTACCAGGTGCTGTCCCCACTCTAGGGACAGGTGGGGCTAGCAGAACCAGAAGGGGGTGGGGGTCTCCTGTGTATGGGGGGGAAAGGGCTTGGACACAGCTAGAAATGTTCTGAGGTCTGTTCTCAGTTGACAGGGTAAGTGGCGACTCTGCTTAGAGGAACTGGGCAGCTGTTCTGAGCCTTTGCCCTTGTTCTAGCTGCAAGGGACCTGACCCACAGAACTGGCTCCCTACTGGACTGGGTGGAATCCCAGGCCCAGGGTCCATTCCAGAAGCTCTTGCAGCCAGGGAGCTGAGGGGTCAGTTCAGGAGCTGACCCAAAACATCCCCCCAACACCGGAACTGAAGCTACATTTTTGCAGAGGGGATTCCCCAAAGAAAAATGTTTCTCTTGACCTGAAATTAGTTTTTTTCATTCCTCTGCCCACTGCTCCCTCCTCCCCCCAGCCATGTTGGGACATTTCAGATGTTTTTGCCTCCGGCCCTACAGAACACCCGCTGCATTGAGAAATGGATTGTAGGTTCAAAACAAATAAAATCGCCAAGGCTGGGTTTCAAAGTGGAAAAAAGGAAGGTTTCCAAATAGAAGGTTCAAACAAACTGTTTTAATTTGGAAGGTCCCCCTGCTCTTGGTTTTGCCCAGACTAGTGGCTGAACTGAATCCCAATTTGCAGGGAGCTAAAGTCACCATTTGCCAAAAAAGTTTCACCGAGCTCCAGTGTGACCACGGCCCTGGTCTGATTTGCCCCTTTGGTGCATGCCGGGCACATGGCTCTGTAGAGTTGTTTAAAGCCACTTCCCTCAACTACCACAAAGCTGTGTCCAGCCCAGTAATGGATGCTGTGGGGTTGGCGGGGTCTGTCTATGTAGGGGACGCAGAACAGGGGTCCACAGACCACGGAGGAAACGACAAAAACGATTTATTCCACGGTCCATCTCCCAAGCCAGGTAGGAGCTCGATGCTGTTTCTTGCCTATTTCTTGGCCTGGCCTTGCTTTGCCAGGGGGGCCCTGAGAACACTGCCCCTGTACAGCGGGCCCACGGCTGGATGTGCGCTGAGTTCAGGGCAATATGACAATGGTCTGGACAGCAGGGGCCTGGATGCAAGAATGAACCACATCCCGTGCTGAGCCTGACTGTGCAGCGAGATGGGGAAAGGAGACTTTGCCCTCCCTTAATGCTCTGGGATCTGGCCTGGGAAGAGCCAACCTAAACCCAGGGTTATGAACTCACTCCTTGAGGGGGCCATTTACAGGTCTGGGGCAAATCTGTCAGGGATGTACTTGGTCTTATTGTGAGGAGAGGGGACTGGTCTCAATGACCTCTCAAGGTCCCTTCCAGCTCTATGAGATGGTAGATCTTCATGTTATTTTTAGCCAACCCCACAGCAGCCTGAGGGCCCAGGATAGTGGGAGCTCACAGTACCCAGCCACCAGCTGCTCCTCCCAGTCCTCCCCCAGCATCGCTGTACGCGACGGGCTCTGTGGGTACTATAGAGACAGCCCAGGGAGAGTCTCCTGGGAAGTTTGGCTGGGGGGCTTCCGGGTCCTCCGTGGTTCCTCTGTATGCCTCCAGATCAGCCAGTAGTGAGGTGTAGAAGTGGGACTAGTCAGCAAGGTTCCCTTGAAACTTTTCCATTCATGTGCAGAATACATTTTGTTACATGCACCAAGGCGTGTACACATGTGCACCACCAGGCAAGGGTGTTAACGAGAGCCATGTCTGTGTTCCGGCTGAGACTGTGAGTAAGGGGAGAGGAAGGTCAGCACCTCCAGATCAGCCAGTAGTGAGGTGTAGAAGTGGGACTAGTCAGCAAGGTTCCCTTGAAACTTTTCCATTCATGTGCAGAATACATTTTGTTACATGCACCAAGGCGTGTACACATGTGCACCACCAGGCAAGGGTGTTAACGAGAGCCATGTCTGTGTTCCGGCTGAGACTGTGAGTAAGGGGAGAGGAAGGTCAGCACCTGAGTCGCAGCGTAGTCACAGCAAATGTTGGCATGGCTGCCCATGTCTGTCCGACTGGGCTCGGAGACAGGCCGCTGCAGGCTGCACAGGTGTCTCCCGGGAGCCTTCCTGGCCGTCGCGCCCGAGCCTGGGAACAAAGGCTACGAGACATGAACTACCCAGAGCACACGCCCTTCCCCACAGGGATTTTGCCACCGACGCCTGGGGGCCAGATCCCGCCCCAGCTTTCCACCTCTCGCCTCCTGCCAGCCACAGCAACAGCCCCGTCTCTTTCCTTGCAGCGTCTGCAGACCGACGACGAGAAGCTGCGCATGGAAGGCCTGGGGCCCACAGAGACGGGCGAGAAAACCATTTACTGCACAATCAACCAGACCAGCAAGGCACGTGCGGCTTGCAGAGGGCTACCCTGGGGTTGGAATTCGGGGGCTGTCAGGCCCTGGCTGCCCGAGGGGCCATGTTCTGTATCCAGCTGGGCCCCGGTTCTGCAATGGAATCACATGGGCGGATCCCAGCTCCCATGCAGAGCTGCACTGGCTCCAGATGGGCTGGAGCCAGCAGCTGTAGCAGACCCAAGTCGTGGCCTAATTGGCTGCAGCTTTCACTGACCTCAGTGGGATTCAC